AGCAGTCGTTTAACGGAGCAGTTTACCATTACTTTGCGGAAATATCGTGAAATCATTAATAACGCTGTGTCTGCTGATAAGGTAAACACGTACGATTACGTGTAAACGAAAAATTTGTAAAATATTTACGCAACGATCACTCGCATCGTTCATTTATACGTAAATTATTTATAAGATTTTTTAAGATCGTCATATCTCGTAGGTCGTACGTGAAAAATACGAAAATCACAAGGAAGGTATGGAAATTTTAAGTTTCAGTGATAACGATTTGATCAATACCGTACCAACTGGGTCAGCAGTACGAGAGAGTCACACCGTGGCTCAACTTAGGAAGCTGATGGAAGATGTTAGTATCTCGTAAAAAGTAATATTTTTTATATCATTCTTTTTATCTCATGGTTATTAATTATTTCAAGGTTGAGACGTTAAAAACAGAACGCGATGTTATAGAAAGCGAATTGAAATGTGCCACTACCGATATGAAAGCAACATTTCTGTCAGCGCTTGCAAAAGATGGCGGAATTGACGAACCAAATTTATCAGTTGAAAGTATAGGAAAAACTTACGGACCTTTACAAAAACAAGTGAGAGATAGCGTTGCTCGGCAAGAACAATTGATCGCTGAAATTCAAGTATGCACAAAGGATTCTAAAATTATATCGTAACAATTATTTACAATATTCTCTACGATGCGTACTAATTCTAAAATCAAATTTAGAAGTGTCATACAGCGTTTACTGCCGAACAATCTGGTAGCGGTAGCGCAAGAGAAACGATGTTTTGTAAACTAGCAAGTGCTTACGATGCATTTAAAGAATTGAAAGGCAACTTAAACGAAGGTGCTAAATTTTATAACGATTTAACACAGGTAAATGTTTATCGTATTTTCACAAATCATGTTACACGTGTCACATGTCAGAATTGAAATCGATCTTTTATATTTGTACAGTTGTTGGTGGTCTTCCAAAATAAAATATCGGATTTCTGTTTCGCTCGAAAAACCGAAAAAGAAGAACTATTGAAAGATTTAACGACAAATTTGAGTCATACTGGACCAACTACAACCCCTAGTATTCCATCTCATCACGGAGGTATAGACTAGACTTTTACAAGTATAATACTATATATATATATCTTCTTTAGATGTATCTTAGATATATCTTCTTTAGATTAATTTTTTAAATATAAAAATGTTTAGCAACTTCTGGTCAAAGTCAGGGAACAGAACAAAGCGGACCATCGCAATTACCGTATCCTACGCATTATCAAGGTGGAATGCCTGTGCCGTACGGAGCTGGTCCCAATACACCATATCCCGCATATATGCCTCCCCCTATGCCTACAACTTACAATCCATACGCAACGATGCCTTATCCCACACAAGGTACAAAAAAATGTCGATTCATGTCGTTATTATTCGTATTGTTCACGACATTGCAGAATATACTTTATATTTGCCATTTTACTTTCAGGAAGTTACAATCCGTATCAAAGTATGCCTCCAACTCCTTACGGTGGATATGCAACTCTGCCGCGTTATGGCGGTAATCAACAACCTCCTCAAGGACATCCGTTTTGAAAAATAAACAATATACACCACGACTACATAACGTAGCATTTAATGGGATTTATATAAGAATGGAGAAAAGACGTGTATGCTTGCAACACATTGTGGAAGTTAATGCGAAATACGTTTCCAATCTGTCCAACATCGAGCAGACGTAAGAAATTACAACGTTGAAAATCAATTTCGAAGAAATTATATTCCTTAATTGTTATTGTACTTCGTGCAGTTGAATTTTGATATAGAAATACGTGATATATACGTTAAGCTTTAAACGATGCTTCGGAAAAAGAAAAGATATAAATACGATGATGTTTGTGCAATTTATAAATATATTTTGTAACATACTGTACTCGATGATTACAACGCCTACGAATCATAATTATTTCATTATTATCGATATTTTAACTTTTTTTGTATTTGTAGACGCGCGGTTCTATGTATTAACAATATTTTGATGTACAACGATCGAATGATAATTTTATTTTTTAATTCCATACAATAGTCTTTTGTAACAAATTACCGTGATCACAGAAATTTCTTATATTTGATTTTAATAAATATGTATGATACTGTATGATGTTTATATATGTTATATTTTTGTTTATCTTGAATGTTAAAAAAATAAGATTTTAGGATAGAGATTACTGAATATGTATCATCGTTGAACAATAGACATGATATTTAAGTTCTTACTTCACGCAATAACAAAAAATTACACGTTAATCTTATAAATTTTTTTCCAAATAAAAATTTGATTCATGGGCATGTAGCGACATCTATTCAATCTTATAAAAAGCCATGGAGATACAAC